TAATAGGTATCCGAAATGTTGATATAGTAATTATAGTTTGGCATTAGTGAAATAACAATTATTAATATTAATGGATTTTGGAATAAAATACTAAATCTTAATCTTTTATAATAAAAATAGATGTCCTTATCTACAAATAACCTGGTATATTGACTTTAATGATATTAGTATATTTATCAAATTATTGAAAATAATCTGAAGCCTATCCATATCAGCTAATAATATAAGGAATAGGATATCAACCTTGATAATGTAGAAGTCAATAGTTCCAAATAATAACTTGATTCGAATAAATCCTATTGATATAATATCACTTATATCAAATCTTATTTCTGGATCTGCTATAGATTTATCAAATGATATATCATTTGAAATAGTTTTGTAGGCTAGAAACTAACTATAACCAGCGATAAAGCAAACCGCTGCCCCAATATCGATTATAATATCAAAGAATTCTTTTTCGTTATATTGTTTTTTAATCAGATAGGTTTCAGGTTTTTGATTACTAATAAATGTATAAGTAAATAATCGGTCAAAAAGATTCAATATGATTTCTTTGCTATTAATAGATCTAGATAATATAAAAAATGTTTTATCGTTATTTAAATCGTCTTCGACATCATTTTTAAAAAAAGTATTGATCTTATTATCAATAATATTTTCTATTAGGATTCCTTTATATTCGATGAAGTATTACTTGAAATATTTATTAAACTTTTTATCATTTTTTTGGAATTTGCTTCGGAATTTACATCTTGAATTATTCTGTTTCTTTTTAATAGAATTTATTAATCAATATTCAGCTTTTTTATAAATAAAGTATACTTGATTTTTATTTATATTTCGATATTGTTTTTTATTATTATTATTAAAACTTTAATACTTTTTATTTATATAGAAAATATTTATTTCGAAAAGATAAATATTCTTATAAATTGAAATAAATATTTGCAAATCCTTTATCAAATTTATTATCTTTTTGTTTAATCTGAAATATATTGATATATATATCTTAACAGGTTTATAAATATTAATTATTTTCTAATAAATATAGATATATAACGTGGTTTATCAGTAAGCGGAACATATCAGTAACCGGAACACTTTTACCTCAATTACCACCTCTTAACTTTGATATGCGATAAATCCATATCCAACCTTTCAAATCAATATGTAAAAGTTGCAAATTAATCTAGTTGTTCAAGCTATTGTTTTATCCAAAAAACTGAGTGTATAGAAAACTATTAAAATCTATAATATACTGTATACTATCTTTATCTACAGAATAGCCAATCAAACACCGAAAACTGGATCTCGATCAATACATTATAAAATAACGGAATTAGAGGATAAATCGCTTTTTCAATATATATTAGATATAGATGAAAAAGGGTTTAATCCTCGAATAAGTAATATGGAAGATATAGCGAATTGTATCCTCGAATCGCAGAGTAATAAGAAGGTTGGAAAGCTTTGAGCTAATCGATTTGTATAATGATATCCAGACTTAAAGACACGTTTTAATTGTGTTTATGATTTCCAAAGAGTTCTTTACAAAAACCCAGAGTTTATTAGGAACTGGTTTCGATTGGTATCGAATATACAGGCAAAATACAGTATTCAGGACTGCGATTTATACAACTTCGATAAAACAGGCTTTATAATAGAACAAATATCATTGTATATAATAATTACTAGAACCAATCGATATAAAAGAAGTAAAGCTATATAATCAGGCAACCGAGAATGGGCTACAGCAATCGTTTGTATCAATGGAAAGGGATTCAGTATTCCTCTATTCCTAGTGGTTAAAGGCGAATACCATCTCTCAAATTGGTATACCGAAGGGGATTTACCATATGATTGAGTCATTAAACCTACTACCAATGGATGGACAAACAATCATACAGGTCTTGAATGGGTTAAGCATTTCAATAAGCATACTTTAAGCAAGAAAATGGATAGATATCGAATACTAATACTTGATAGGCATGAAAATCATAAATCAGCAGTATTTCAGGAATACTGCAAGGAATACAATATTATACCACTTAGTTTACCACCTCATTCTTTGCACTTAACTCAATCACTTGATATTGGTTGTTTTAGTCCTTTAAAGCATTCATACAGTTGGCAAATCGAGAACTTTATAAAAGCGCATATCACCCATATTACCAAAACCGAGTTCTTTCACGCTTTCAAAACCACATATCTCGAATCAATATCTATATCTAATGGTAAGGCTGGGTTCCGCGGAGTTGGGCTAATACTATTTGAACCGGAAGTTGTATTCTCAAAGCTGGATATTTGAATAAGGACATTATCAAATGACAGATCAGTATCAGTTGATTCTGATATATGGCAATCTCAAATACCTCAAAATCCAATTGAAGCTTTTTCTCAATCAACTTTAATAAAAAGTTGTATTGTCTGGTATCAAGGAAGTTTATCTATTCCAATATTTGAAACAATTGCAGCTTTAGTTAAGGGTATAGAGCTCTTAGTTTATGCGAATATGCTTTTAATTGTTGAGATTCGTAGTCTCCGCAAAGCAAATGAAGTACTTAGCAAATGCCGGAGAACTAAAAAGACTCAATTATGTAAAGGAGGAGTATTTGAAGTAAGAGATGGGTATGATATATTAGAACAAGAGAATATAGAAAATCAGATACAATACAATGAATATACAAATAGTAGTTTTTCAGAAGTAAGGCAAGTTATTAAACGAAAATGTAGCAACTGTAATAATACTGGGTATAATGCGTGAACTTGTCAATTGGATCCAGCATTAGTTGATCACTAGAATGTATATAATTTAATTCTAATCTATTGTGTTGTTGTAATTTTAGTCTAGTGGAAAGTGAGTTGGAGTGGTAAAAGTGTTCTGGTTACTGATATGTTCCGCTTACTGATAAACCACGTTATTAGTGATTAGATAGATAGATATGTCACACCGCTTTCATTCTCTCACCAACCAAATCATTCTGCCACCAACGGGGAAAGACAGTATTATCATCGTAAGGTTAATTAACCATCTGCCAGAAAAAATCCCTTTTACTACCAACCTTCCCACCTTCTGTTCAAACGACTCTCCTCAATATGGCTCGCCTCAATATGGCCCTCTTCAAACGACCTCTTCAAACGACTCTCTTCAAATACAATCCCTTTTTTATATATCTCCTGTCTCAACCTTCCTTCCTCTTTTCCTTTTTTCACTCCATCTTGTCAAGGTTCCTTCTGTAGTATCGATTCTCGATGAATTTATGGGCCAGGGAGGTTTTCAAAGCCAAAAGCTTGTAATGTACCCCAGACGGTTTGTAGATTTCCGTCCAATATCTTTTACTTGTTCATACAATCAAACTATGGATTCCACTATGAGGATGCGATTGGTCTAGACTCCAATTCAGAGATCTTCCATCAATGAGTCCAAGGTGCCGGTATCCTTCATATCACATCATTTTGAAAGAAAAGGGTGAAAAATGAAGTCAATTATAAGATTGTCCAAAAGTCCTATGAGGATTCAAATATCCGGTTGCTCAAATGGGTATCGGATATTTACGGATATTTTCTTCACGCACCAGACGGATATTTAAACGCTTCGTTATTGGCCCACTGGTCAATTCACTCAAAGAGTGCCTTCACAGGGCTAGAAGATATCTTCCATATATCTAATCACCCGTATCCATTGCCGGGCTGTTGGGTCGAGACTTTGGTAGGTGGGAATGCTATTCATACCGTACTCGAGTATATCCGTTCGTGTTAAATATCATAATCAATGTCGTTGCTTTGGAATCCGGATAATTTACTAACAGCTAGGTTCTGAATTTTCAAAACATGATATATACAAGCCAGTCGATATCCAGTGAGTTTCATCTGATATATATCAGAAGCAATTTACCATTCGTCTGCAACTATTCCATTCTTGTTCCTCCTAGTCCTTACAGAAGTTGCGTGATATGTTGAGTTCAGGAGATACGAGTGAGGTAAGTCTGACTTTATCCTCTGTCACTTCATGTTCAGCATTCCACTCTCTCTCCAATTTGATCCATGATCATTAGGGGGTAAAAACTGACCGATTACTTGAAGGTCGAGAAAACCGGCGAACAAGATACAACTTCGCAAGGATTGCCCATATATCGTCGCGAAGGTCGTGCGCTTGGTGTCCTCTTCGAAGATATTACCGTTCATGGTGTTACTGCCGGCGAAAAACGGGCCCAGGATCTTCTACGAATTTTTCAAGATGTCATCATCTACTGGCCAATCGGCTTGATACGTAAAGTTATTCGCTCTGGCCGTTCAATGCATCCAACAAGACGTTTGATACAAAACGTTTCCGGGGTTTTGCCTCCTGGTAAAACGCTCCTAGTCCTTGGCCGCCCTGGTGCTGGATGCTCGACTCTTCTTAGTGTACTTGCAAACCAGCGTGCACCGTTCGTAGATGTTGAGGGAGACGTACAGTATGGTGGGATCGCGGCTGAGGAAATGAAAAGACTCTATGGCTCTGAAGTGGTTTTAAACAACGAAGACGACATCCATTTTCCTACACTAAATGTTCAGGATACCATGGAGTTTGCGTTACGCCTGCGGAAGCCAAAATCCGACCTGAAAACAGATGCTGAGTTTGCCGAACACTGGACTGACGAGATTCTCGACTCTCTCGCTATTAAGCACACGAAGTCCACAATCGTTGGAAATTCTTTTGTTAGGGGCATATCCGGGGGCGAACGCAAGCGTGTATCAATAGCTGAAGTTCTGAGTGCTGCCTCTGCCGTCGTAACATGGGATAATCCACTGAGGGGTCTCGACAGCTCATCTGCACTAAGTTTCATACGCCTTCTAAAGGAGATGTCACGGGCTACTGGAATGTCCAATATCGTTACAGCCTACCAAGTCTCTGAGAGCATTTATAGAGAGTGCTTTGATAATGTTGTATTGTTGTATGACGGACATCAAATCTATTCAGGCCCAGCCGGCGACACTGCTAAGCGTTACTTCACTGATCTCGGCTTCGAATGTCCTCCCCGTCAGACTACACCAGACTTCTTGACGGCCATTACTTCGCCTGATGAACGTCGTGTCAAACCTGGGCACACTCCTCCACCGCCACTTGATCCGCCTAGCCTTGCTGATGCATTCCGAAAGAGTCAGCATTACCAAGATCTGCTAGGAGAGGCAGCAAAGTTTCGCGACAAGCATTGTGACTTGGGGAGTGCCGAAGCCTTCAAGTCCGAAGTGGCTGCTTCCAAACACAAGTTCAGTCCCCCAAAAGCTCTGGCGCTCACATCATTCCCCACTCAAATCATGGTTGCTATGCGACGACATTACCAACTTGTCTGGGGAGGTCGCAAATCCCTCGCCATAGTTCTTGCATTAAATGCCGTGAATGCTCTAATCACCGGCTCTGCGTTCTACAAGAGGTCCCTAACGGCAACTGGGGGTTTCGAGCTTAGCGGTGCTCTCTTCTTCGCTCAAATATACTTTTGCCTAAACGCTTTGGGAGAAACCGTTTCAACCGTCCACTCACGAACGATCCTCCAAAAGCAGCACGCTCTAGGTATGCTGCACCCAGCCGTGTCGGCTATCGCTCTCAATCTAGCGGATCTGCCCGTTTGCTTCGCGCAGACTATTCTGTTCACGATCCCGTATTACTTTCTCGTCTTTGCAAAACCAACAGCCGCTGGATACTGGTTTTTTGAACTCCTTGTATTCGTGTTCTATGCTAGTCAGCTGGCACTTTTCCGAATGGTAGGCGCATGGTCCCCGAATGTACCGGTCGCTCTTCTCTTAGGAGGTACAGCCATGCCAATCAGCCTGAGTCACTCAGGTTATGGTCCACCATGGCCAACACTATTAGGGTGGGATTCTTGGATCCGTCGAATTAGTCCAAGTCCCTATGTATTGGAAGCGACGATGGGGTTTTTGATGGGAGACGTTGATCTCCACTGTACTGCTGACCAGCTAGTCCCCAATGGGATAGGATACGAGGCAAGTGGGATCTTTTTTTTGGCATATTTTCTGTCTGCTTTGAGCTATGTCACAAGACCAAAGCTCTGAGTATAGCTAACAAAAGATTTATAGAACATCACCCTGGCCAATCAAGGTTGCCCCATCTCCGGAAGCTCCCCGGGATCTTCTACCGTACCAGGCTCAACGTATCTACTCAGCCACTTCGAGTATCGTCCATCAAATGCGTGGCGAAATTTCGGACTCGTCTTGGTTTTCTGGACTATTTATACAGGTTTGACAGCTGTAGGTCTGACATTAATGACGAAAAATAGCGGCAGTGGTGGCGGAAGTCGGGTATTTAAACGAGGGGCGGTCATTCCTGATGATAGCCGCGGTAGCGAAGAGTTGCGTGAAAAGGACTCTGATCTGGAATCTCAAGGAAAATCTTTTGTCGTCCGTTCTCGGGGAAATGTCCAGGATTCGACCGACTCTAGCAGTACGTTAGGTACGATTGTCACTAACGGCAACGTGGATCCGAACAATAGTGCTAGGGTGAGTTGTTCCAACAGCGTGGATTATGAAATCTCTACTAATATGAAACCACAGCCTTCATTCACCTTCTCAGATGTCTCATATCATGTTCAGTTTGCTGGAGAATCTCGACAGCTACTCACGGATGTGAGTGGATATGTGAAACCTGGTCAGCTTACAGCACTTATGGGCGTTTCGGGTGCCGGAAAGACAACCCTCCTCGACACTCTTGCGCAACGTAAAGATACGGGTGTTGTGACCGGTGATATGATGATTGGAGGCCAGCCTGTCGCCAAACTAGGGGCAGGATTTGCGCGGGCTTGTGGATTTTGCATGCAACAGGACGTCCATGATGGTGGGGCTACGGTTCATGAGGCTTTGATCTTCTCGGCCATGATGAGAAGGCCATTGTCCGTATCAAAGCAAGAGAAGGAGGCACATATTGAAGAGGTCATGGAGCTACTAGGACTGAGATCGATTGCGGATGCGTTGATTGGAGTTCCGGGAGAGGGAGGTCTTGGAGTCGAGGAACGAAAGCGAGTTACGATCGGTGTGGAATTGGCCGCAAACCCTTCTATGTTACTATTTCTCGACGAACCAACCTCTGGCCTTGATAGCCAGGCTGCATATTCTCTCGTCACGTTTCTGCAACGTATTGCCGCTTCCGGGGTGCCCATAATCTGCACGATTCACCAGCCTTCGGCGGTCATTTTCGAAATGTTTGATCATGTTCTCCTTCTGACACGTGGAGGGCGCACCATCTATTTTGGTGAAACAGGTAGTAATGCGAGCACGGTTGTAGATTACTTTTCTCGCAATGGGTCCGAAATGGATAGCAGCGCCAATCCAGCCGAGTTTATCTTGGATACTGTGGCGACTCCTTCGGGGGGTGACGATTGGTCTCGAACATGGAACGAGTCACCTGAACGTCGCAACCTGCAAACTCAAATAGAGGTTTTGAACTCCTCCGCCAATGGCAACCTAAATATCGCTTCTGCAAACAAACCACTTCCGGCCATGCACCAATTTCTCATCCTTACATCTCGTCATTGGCTGACCATCTGGCGTGATGGTGTCTATAGTCTCAGCCGTCTCGTTAAAGCCGTATTCATGGGCCTCTTCTTCTCATTCGCCTTCTACCATGCCGCGGATACCGAGCAAGGAACCCAGAATCGCTTTATTGTTCTCCTCCTCCTACCGTGGATTATCCCCGCCTCTGCCGACGATCTTCAAGCAATCTGGTATTCCAAATGGGCACTATACTCAGTACGCGAGCGCTCCGGCGTTGGCTACCATCCACTTGCCTTGTGCGCCGCTCTAGTAGCCGTTGAGATCCCACTAGCCATAGTCATTTACACAATATATTATCTATGCTGCTGGTTCACCATAGGACTATCCGCCCCCGGATTCGGCTACCTACTATTTCTCGCGCTCGGCATATTCGGTATCGGCTTCTCCTTTGCAATTGCCGCGCTCGTTTCTGATAGTTCAGTAGCTGCGTTTGCAAATAGTCTTATTTGGTGCGTCTGCACGACTTTTGGTGGGGTAGCTCTTACCCACAACGACATGCCCGCTTTCTACGCAAGATGGCTGTTCTGGGCCGATCCCCTGCGCTACTGGATGGGTTCCGCCATCTCGACTGGTGTCCATGATGTCCCCGTCATTTGTACCGCTGGCGAAATGACGGTTTTACACCCTCCGACAGGACAAAGCTGTGGTCAATATTTCGCAAGTTTTCTATCGGGTACCGGGATCGGTGGTGCGAGTATGGGGTATGTAGGAAATCCCAATGCGACGGAGAATTGCAATTACTGTCCGTACCAAGTCGGAGACGATTATGCGGTTTCCTACTCTTTCTTCTATGGAGAAAGGGTAAGGGATTGGGGTATCTTTACGGCGTTTTGTGTTAGTACATTGGCGATTGCGTTCTTGGTTAGTTGGGGTAGATTTTCTAGCTTGAAGTTTCCTAAGATGAAGTCTTTGGCGTTCGGGAAGAGGGGAAATTAGGGTGGGATGGAATCGAGAACAGGTTTGTACGCTTGTGTAGAGGATGAGAATGGACAATAGAATGGGATAGAAGGGGACAGGAGTTATGCTTTCATGGTTGTTATAGAATTATCGACTAATTAAAATTTTATAAAGTCTTATTGATAATAAAAGAATGAACAATAATATGAAATCTGATGACAGCAAAAGTTACATTATACAATGAGATCCTATCTCATACACAGATATATTCTATGTAACATTCATCGTCTAATTATAATATAATATAACAGTCTATCAGGAGCTTTTTGACAAAACTATTAATTAAAATTTTGCTTCCCGTGAAAAACTTGATTCATCCGTTCAGTTCATTTCCATCTGAAAGACTCAAGATCTACGAGTACAACCTCTCAAATATTGCAAAATCGAAATAGAATTTGTCGAAAAAAGTGCCAGATATTTGATTTGCTTGGGTCAGCAGGAGGTGGCGGTGGGATTAACTTCTCCCTTCTCTTTGGCTGCCATACTTGTACCATAGATGCTTACTAAGCCGTGCTCGTCCTTAACCTCACAGCTTGTAGACAAGACACATCCACCAAAAAAAAACTGAAAATTTCAGTATTAACCAGCGAATATAAAATTGATCAGATGGAACGTTCAGCTTCAACAGCACCATCAACTCTCTCAGAACCTAGTGAAACTCCAAAAACTACTACTTCTTCATCGTTAACACCGCTTGAGACTAGTATCAATGTGGAGGGTGGAAGGGAGAAGGGTGCAGTCGAACGAGTAGCCAATGCATAAGTATTCCTACATTGGATTGAGTGAGTTTTGCTATACTGACCTTAAATACTTGTCAGAACTGTCGAAATAGAAAGGAAAGGTGTTCCGGCAATGAGCCCTGCACATCCTGTTTCAAGCACAATCGAGAATGCTCGTACACGCCGTTGAAATCACGAGGTAGGAAGAAGAAGCGTTCTCGCCTTGACTTTGAACCTCCTGAGGTCCAAGATCCGGTGTCGAGGGCTGGTCGAACAACTCCGCACATAACGAATCGACCAGAAGTTCTTCGTCCACTGATAACCAACGACAAGAATGGGCCGCTTGCAGTCAAGCGACGTGGAGAACTGCGTTCTTCTGGGATTGGAGTATGTCAGACCGGCTCAGGAGCATTCCAATATTATGGACCTGCATCCAATATGGCATTGTTTCAAAGTATTTACCAGTGCATTTATCGTACCACGAACCAAAACAATGACCGGCTAGGGGCGATGTGTGTTTGGGGGTTGGATCAATATGCCTTCCCCCCCGAGCGTCCTGAATATCAGCACCATAATGAGGGAGGTACATCCCTTCCCGTTCATCTGAGTAAGGACCTTGGGGACTGTTTTATTACCACCTATTTTAAGGTTGCTCATCCACAATGGCCTTTTCTTCAAGTCTCCGAAATTCGGGAAGACTGGGAATCCTTCTGGGAACCTCCGCCGCCCGAGCGAGACGCGTATTATAGTAGCAAGTTAACTCGCAAAAACATAGTATTAATGGTGTTGGCAATTGGTGCAGTAATGTCAAGTCTTTCTCCCCACAAGGATGCCAAACTTATGGCTAGATGGGCATCCTACTTGTCATCACGTGCTATGTTGTCAGGCTCGACTTTCGAAGACGCTTCCCTCAAAGGTGTCCATCTACTACTTCTTAAATCTATATATGCTATCGAACATATGCGTCCTAATGACGCTTATCTTTATGTAGGCCACGCGTCCTTGAATGCACTAGCATTGGGTATGAACAGGGCCCAGGTCGCCAATGGTACTCGTCCCAACATGCATCGTCTCCGGGTGACCTTTTGGAATCTTTACGCGACGGAAAAGCTCGTGTCCTTGTTTACTGGTCGCGCATCCTGTTTGCGAGATGAGTTTATTGACACTGCTTTCCCCGAAGACCCGCCAGTCTCGGAGACGGATAATGGGAATCCAGAAGAAATCGCAGACATGGCCTACCTCCGTGCTTTGGCGAATCTGGGCCGTGCAGCCGATCGTATCAACACTGGTATCTACTTTTGCGGTGGGGTTGCGACCGAGTCCACCAATATTTCCCGAGTTACCCGCGAGTGTGAAGTAGCCCTAGAAGAAGCGATGGGGAATCTCCCCCCTTTTCTACACTTCTTTGACTCTGCGATGCCTCCTAGTCCTCAATTGTGGCATGAAGTTCAACGTACACACCTTGGGTTACATTACTATCACTGTATCATTCTTCTCCATCGCCCAGCACAAACATTTGTGTCCAAATATGCATCAAAGGCCGAAGCTCTAATCGAAGCCAAGGAGTTAGGAATCACGGATATTTTTGGTTCCGTCGAAAAGGCCATGTCCGCATCCAAAAGTCTCATTGCTCTCGCGCTCGATACCTTAAATACGCGTGCAACGGCAATGAGGCAAGATTCTGGAGCGGCCTATAATATCGTAGGCGCCTGTCTCACATTACTATATGATGTTATAGGTGGACCACAGAAGACTGCTGCCGGTAACGTCGCGGGTACATTCAAAGCTGTTGAAGATGGCCTTCGGTGTCTGAGCTTTATGGAGCATACCGGACCTAGATGTGGGGGCTCGTTGAGTTCACGCATAATGTGTGTGGCCAAAGATGCATTTCGCTCCGTCAAAGCTCCTAATGTAGATGATGACCCCAATGACAATGCAACAGCTGTTAATAATACAGCATCATCATTATCATATGAGCCTGTTCAGGAACACCCCGACACCATACCTAATACCGTTATTGACCACGAGATGGACACACTCCTCGGACAATTCCCATGGCTCGCAAACACAACCACAACCACCAACACCGCGACCCCTCATTCTGCCGGCAACAACACAACTTCAACCTCCACTGCCGCACACCACAACCATACCTCCGATTTCAATTTCGCCGCCACTTCGATTTACGGGGGTTACTCTCAAGCCGATACACTGCATCAATATCCGACTCCCGCATTCAACAACTCGGATTTTCTCTACATGCCGAGCTTTGGCTTTGAGAACTCGACGCAGCCACAAATCCTGACGCCGGGAGTGGCCGCTACTGGTAGTGCCAGCAACACTACTCCTCAATCGGGAGTATATCAGTGGCCTGATGCCAATGGGCAGTTTTTTTCGGATAATGGTGAATCGGATGGGAACGCTGTTCCGTGGGGTTTACTGTGATTTTGTGAAATGTTAGTTTGTCTCATACTTTTTCGGGACTCGATGTTTTCCGTATCCGTATCCATACCAAATATCATACGTGATCATCAGGCAAATTTGGAGGAGTAGGTGGGGGCGGAGCGGGGGGGCAAGGTATTTGTTTTTGAGGGATGATACTGTATATATACGCGTTGAATCAGATATCGAATGGAACTTCAATGTAATATGATATATAGAACAATCAATAAAGGGACATCCATATAATATACAATTAGTATTCGTATCATAATGGGCACCACAGAATCATCGTCCAAATTACAATTTACACCATACCATACCATGCACCAACCATATCAGGAGCTCCAAACTAGCATGAGCCTTGAGGCACGCCACGACGTGCGTATAGAAAACCAAAAGGTAGGTATGCAACACATATTGAATCCCTCAATGAAGTAAATCTTTCAAATAATTTCTTGTATGGTTATATGGCGGAAGAGCTCTCTTTCTATTTTTCTTCTCCTTCAAGCCTAGGGCTCTCAGAACACAATCAGCCATTGCAATCCTTATATACGTGCTCTTTTTTTGCGGCTCTTTATAAGATAACCACCCTATACTGTAATCATACAAGAGTCGGATGAACAGAGAGTTGTGTTGCTACTAGCTAAGCGTATCTGCAAAGAAACGTATATATCTCTACTCGTAGTACTACATGAAATTACTCATCTCTAATATTTTGCCCGAAGAAATGGTAGGTACTGTATATACACCTTTGCTAAGCAGGATGATCCAGCTGGGCATGCTTAGCTGGATGGTTACTGATGTGTATATGTTTCTGTCTCTCATGCGATTTCCCTGATGCATGTGCCCAATAATGCGCGTTTGGCCTCTTTTGACCCCCAATTTTATTTCATGTCCTTCCTATGAAAACCCCTTTATGCGCCGGTTAATGCTGGAATGCGATGATTGCTAAAGTACAAGTGGGACATATTTCAGTGAAATTATATTAGGAAAGCCCATTTCGATGCGTTCAAGCACCGACAATCATGCCATTTGATTTCGTTTCTTCATCTTCGCCTTTGAGTCGGTCCTCAAATCCCGGGCGCCATTTTTTGAGATATTTGGCGGCGATGGGTTTTGCATTCTCGTCTTTCACGGTTAGCATGGCCACAATGTAACTAAGAGATAGATTCTTACAGGTGTTCCAAATATCTTCTACCGCATCGAGAGCCAATTCTCGGACCGGTGGTCGCATCATAACCAAGTAGAGAAGACTAGTTAGTGACAGATTGACCATTGTTGGATTTTTGCAAAGCCCTTTGATTTTATTCAACACCTCTGGACTCAACCCAGGGATCTCGCTCAAGAATCTAGTCAAGACTTTATCCTTTGCATCAAGATATTGAGAAAATCCATCTAAGACCTTGAGTGTCCATTTCTCGTAATGTAGCACTGCTGACCCATCGTCAAGCTTCATTTGTACTTTATCATTGTACCATTCTTCGCACAGCCAAGCAACTGCAATGTCGATTCGCTTTCGGAAGTCTTCAAGAATGTATACAAGAAGAGATTGTCGGATAGTATTACTTAATGATAATCGTTCAACATCTGACGATTCCACTTTGACAGCTTCGGAGGGATCTTCGAGACCGGCTCCAGCACGCGTTGCGAGGCGTGTAATGATGGTAATCCACGCATCTCGGTCATATGCACTAGCTGCCAGTCTATTTATGCCAGCCTTTGTCTTTCTTGCCGCGGGTTCATCTAAGGTCTGCATCACACCGAAGACTCGAGAAACAGTACCTTGGCCAACCAGGGCCGCCTCCTCGGAATTCAGGGATGGAGGGGGTGGCAACGTGAACGGTCCAAGGGCCACATTGGCTACCTTCTCGATATCCACTTTAAGCTCTTCGGGTGGTGAACTATCTAGTTTATTCAAGATTTGCTCCGTGTCTTCAGCATTGTAGAAATCGGGTTCGTAGTCATCATCGTCTTCTTCTACGCCCAGTGGAGCTGTTGCAGCATTGATTTCTTCAGACCTAGGCTCCGAGAGAGCCTGAAGCCTTGCTTTCACGCCCTAATCGCCATATAAGTAAACGTGCATGATATAATATAGTATTGGGTTTATGAGAACTTACGCCAATAGCTTGTTCAATAGTGTTCGTATCTATCTTCTGAAGGATTGTGATGCCAATCTTAACGACTAGGTCTTCTGATAACAGTGCAACATCAAACCCCTTCAAAGCTTCATCAGTTGTGATGGTAAAGAGCTCGGCGATTGTATGATTTCCAGGTGCTAACGGTGGTATATGTAGTCGATCGGGAGCAGGGGATGTAAATTGGGCGCCGAGCTTTTGTCGTTTGGCAGAGTCAAGACCGTCTACTGGCTCTGGGGGTCCACGCTTTCTGTTTGCCTCGTCAAATATCTCCGTTTTGGAGCGCATCATTCGTTCGACATATTGCTGAATTCGTCCATTGAGTGGATTGTGAGGGTCCCTACAACGTCAGCTTACAACAAGCAGAGTAAACAGGGGCAAAAGGGCATACCGCTTGCTGATATGAATGAGTAGTGACCTAGTAGTCTTTTCCATAGATTTAACCATAACGCGCAGTTTGGGGGTCATTGGGGAGTTGGCTAGTTTTAGAGGATTGAAGTTTAAGAGAACATTCAAGATTTTATTGGCAATATGAGGACGGGCTCGGATTAAGATGGAAAGGGAGTTCAGGGTGGCATCAACAAGTACAGCATCGCTAGATATGTCAGTTTCTAAAGGGGGAGGGAGGGGGTTGTCGAGTAGAATCAACATACCTAGAATTCTCTTGGAAGACAGCAAGGAGTCTATCGAGAAGACCTGACGCTTCCGCTTCGAGGTTCCGGGGAGGGAGGAGGGTGTGATTCGGAGGCACCATAGACAAAGATACCTGGAGAGGATCACTGCGCTGGACCAGAATAACGTCAGTATCATGTCTTTGAGAAAATACTAGATGGTCTTTCATACTCTAGTATCTGCATCAGGGCCTGTTGTTTGAACCAAGACAACTCTCTGCGCAAATTTTATGCAGCATATTCTTATTCCTGGCTTAGCAGCATCCCACATTCGCAGTATTCGAGTTTTAATTGCGACCATGCGATCCCAGGTTGGTGTATCGTAAGGATTGTTAATACTATTTGGGCGCATAAGTTAGAACCAGCTCCAATTGCCATTGCTTGACATTATTCAAAGGTATGCAGATGGAGAGTTTGCGCAAATGGTAAAAATCGCATAAGTCAGTAGAAATACAAAAATCAACGTACATCCATCGAACGACGAGTGGGTATATGCTAGCTGCAGTTTGCACAATACTCTTAATTACCGCACTATCTTCGTGCGGATTCTCAATCATATCCTTCAAAGTATCAAGTACAATCAAGCTCAGAGTTTCTTTCTGCGACGAAGGTATGGTTGGACTTGAAAAGGTCTCTGCGAGAAAATCGGCACCCCATCTTCTTAGTTCTACCCTCGCGGACGGTCCAATAATTGGTAGTATTCCTTGAATGATCTGTGTGTAATAGTTTGCATCTGAAAGTACAAGTTTCCGAGCATCATTCAGTTGATTGATCTGTTGTTCAACAGACAAGGTAGCCATGACGATGAGATGGCCGTGGAAAAAGAAGTCGAATACCGGGTATGATACTACGATGGATTGTACATGTATCGTACAAGCTGCATATGAGAAGAAACTACTATGATATCCACTACGTCGATTCGTTGTGTGGTTAGTAAAATTGACTTAGAACCATTATGCGTTGTTGTTGAACGAATCAAAGTTTGACTTGTTGAATTGTGCTTCTTTTCTTTGATGCGATGCTGAAAGGTATTGTATATAGACGCGACTAGCTTGTGCGATGCAGTATGTATCATAGATGATATCGGAGCTTGAATTAAAGTAGCCTTATCGATAAGGCTGAATCTCATGAACTTTACCACTTGGAATTTCTCTTGGGAAAGTGGCGCCATTGATCACATCAAAGTACAGAGATCACAATTCAAAATGCCGTTGTAAGTCTCTATCTCAATGGTGATCAAATGAATTATTTGTACTAACAAAGGATTATTGTAGAGTTCCTAAGTCTTCGTATTACGATAAGCACTACAAGCAATCCGCCGCCCTCATTCGAGCTCGAAAACCATACCTTGTGAAAAATGCTTTGACAGGTGCTGTTATCTTCGGATTCGCTATTGGAGTTTGTAGGTTTTTGAGAGAGGGTTTTCCGAACCAGTTCACAGTAATAATTGTCTACAGTTGCTTTTACTATCAAAGCAGTATCGCAAGACGACTTTGAAGATGTCAAAGTACCAGCCGCACCAACCAAATAGGACTCTTGACTTGGTTGAAAAGATATGATTGGGATCAATAGCAGCTCCTGCGGACCAGGTTCTAGGAAAATAGGGAAGGCTACTTAATGATGAGACAGATCAAATGGGGCAAAGTCTACAAGGTCACAGCTAGATGCGATGATGTGTACAAGTTCAGTGAGGGGCGTTTGGATGAAGGAAACTTCCGGAATATTCATGAGCTCCAAATTGAAGCTTTGTAGCTATACGTTATAAACACAGGTGGCGTTATTGCAATGTCGCTCAAAGGGAATCATATAATACCACATGTATGGAGGTAACCATATCTCATAACGCCGCCCCAACCCAAATGCTTTTCTGCCGTAACTCCTCAACATGCACCTATCTGCGCCTTCGTAGTCGTGAATACTTAGGTCAAAAACGACCAATCAATTCCCTCTTGGGCACAATCTCCGCCGGTGGAGGTTCGCGAGCCATCTCTTGGACCACATTCTGGAGTCCGGCGCGTGATATCTGATGGATTTGATTATTGGCTACGAGTGGGGCCCGATGATTATATTGCTCGTTGGAGATATGTGACGGCGGATGAGGAGGTCTAGCTTGCTTCGGCGACAGCGATGGCTGCCGACTGCCTAGAGGCGATGGTACAATAGTATGTGAGTGCGAGGCATTGGAAAACGGATTATGTGGAGAAACTCTTCCACCAGACATCATGTAGCCATTAGTATGTTGTAAGATTGATGTCGGGATATTAGAAAACGTTCCAGATATGGGACCGCCTTGTTGATGAGAATGACGACGGGGCTGTACTTGAACTTGAGATAAAGGGCTCGTGGTTCTTGGAGTATGCTGGGCTGATGTTTGACGTTGTATTAAATGAGCGTGAGAAGGGTGCTGCGGATTTGCCCATGGTGTTTGTTCAATAAATTGTTCTTCAGCTGGCCTGAATCGCGATGTTGATCCTACTATTCGCAATGCCGCTAATTCTTGCAGAGATAAAGCTGCAGGTTGATGCACATGTCTAGTCCGCTATGAAGAAGCTCCGTCAGCTTGTCCCTGTCATGACAGAATATTTCTTCTCGGACTGAATCCTAACCATGACTTTGAAATAATGCACTTACTCCCATCTTCTCGAAGTCCTCTTCGAGCTCGGAAGGTGTTGCCTGGGCCATGGATGGAGCGGCTGGGAATCCGACATGTTTGGCGATACCGGAAAGGATGGAAACTTCATTGGAATATGCTACCTGGTTTTGAACCTGTTGCGATCTCCGCGTAGGATAGTTCAGAGTGTACTCGGGTACGCCAGTTGAGTAATTCCTTCTATCATGTTGTATCTCGCACCATTGTTTGCCTAGCCGCTCCATCTTGGTTTCCCGAACCTCTCTTGCTTCTTGTCTATATTGAACAAGAATTTGGCTTCTCCTCGCAACAGCATGAATTTTGAGAGCCTGCAGCTCATATTCACGTAGTTTTTCGGCGACTCGAATCCTTTCGTCTCTCCGTGCCTCGACACTACTCATCATCGCTAGCAATTCGGGGTGTGTTAGCTGGTCTTGTCGAAGCATAGCCTCCTCTCGATTCATCTGCTCGAGACGTTCATCGTAGAGCCTAGAGATATTTTAGTAGACGCATTAGTGACTATAAATGAAATCTGACCTGTCTCTGAAGACTGAGAAGTTCTTCTCGATCCCGCCTAATTGATCAAAGGCGCTCATCTTTTTTTCCACTGTTTCAGATATGCGTTAGAACAACTGCGTATGTTCAAGCTTTTCATGTTCCAAAACAAACTCACATTCTTCCTCTGTCTTCAATACAAGATCCGCTTCATCATCTCCCTCGTTTTCTGCCTGGTCCTCCTCGCCGTTCCTTGCATCATCTTCGCCATTTGTCAGCGTACCATTCTGCACACTGTCCGACTCATCCTCAACATTTATGCCATTCTCCACAGCCTTTTTCTTCTTCCGTCCACGTCTTTTGGGCGACACTGGTATGTCAGCGGGTTCGGTGTTTTCGTCATCGGGAAGTATTGCCTCTGTAGCATTCACGGAAACCTCTCCCTGTGCCCCATCGCCTTCTTCGCCTGATATGTTACCGCTGGTTGCATTTAGTGCGTCTTCTTCTACAGGTAAATCGTCATCAATCGCATAATCGTCGCCTTGATTAAGTATAAAGCCCGTCCGCTTGGGCAAAGGTTCATCGAAGTCATCGTCGAGTCCGCCGCTGCCCATTATTGATCGCTTGCGTTTTCTTGAATCGATTTCGGAAGTCGATAGTGCCCTCTTTCCTTCGCCCGAAGAATCTTCTAGTGATGTAGCAGCTGTAACTGGGTTGTGACTACCCAGCTCGGCAGCATCACGGAGGGAACTTTTAGGGCTATCGATGGGAATAGAAACATCTTCGTCGGATAACGGATCTGCGTCATCTTCGTCTTCTTCTGCCTCGTCTGCCATGATCTGGTTGTGTAGTTTGCTAGGGCTGCGATCGTGGGGGTCGGTACCATTATGGGAATTAAGAACCACATTCTTTTGCACTCTCAGCTTGTGCGGTGATTCTTCCAGACGCTCCGTCTCTGCTTCAGAATCATCATCTTCAGAGGGGTTACTAAGTTCATCTGAGGCTTCGGCGTCGTCCTCATGTTCTTGCTCGGCATCTTTGTCTTCAATTTCGCTCAAACTACTAGAGCGATCTTCTTCAAGCTCGACATCGCTGAGCTCATCATCAACAGAAGCTGAGTCAGGCATGATACAGTCAACCACTATTTCGGGCTGAATCTCGCCGCTCATTTTGAGGGTAAATTAAGTATTGTTCAAAATCGTTGTAATGTTCATATAATCACTTGTCGCAAATCGAAGCACTGGAATAGAATCAAGGTACTAAATCCGGTAGAACTTCGGTTAGTAAAGGCGGTCATCAGCTGAGGGCAGAATTGATTCTCTTGATCCCTGCATATTTATTTAATTTTTTAACTGAAAGCCCCGATCTCGAAACTACAAGAGATAATATTTTACCTACATCAATTGCCTCGAAACGAGAACATCTTAGTCACAATGGGTAAACGAAGCCGAAACGACAGTACCAATGGAGGAGAGAAAATCAAGGTTAAAGAAAGTGCCGGCAAATTATTCCTCACAGAAGGCAAGGCTGTCGACCCTACTTTAGCCTTGCTCTTTGCATCAAGTGTAAGTCTCGACATTCTGACACTGCGCATGTTTGCTGATGTAGAGTAGGCTGGTCCAGTACAAGCTCCTTCGAATTCTAGATATCAAGAAGCACCACCTGCGCGCCATAGAGATGTAGAAACGCAAGATGGAGAATCCCCTGATGAATCTGATGATGAAGATGCTGAAGATCTCGAGATGGGCGAGGATGACGATGACTTGAGTAGCGTTGATGGCGATCTCGAAGATGTTGAAATCTCGGATCTCTCGGATGAAGACAATAGTCCCAACGAGATACCTGAATTAGATACATACATTGCAGCGAAAACCGAGAAACCGGAACGAAAACGCAAAAGGAAGACTGATGAGCCAGACCTCGAAGGAAAATATCTACAGAAGCTGGCCAGGGAAGAAGAAAAGGAAGAAGAAGAACGCCAAGCTGAAAGGCGACTGAAACGCCAAAAATTGGCTGCAGAGCAAAATCCTGCTGTTGAGGAAGATGTCGAGGAAGCTGGTTCTGATGACGACATGGAGGACGCGGAATCTGACGAAGAGGCCGAAAGCGAGGATGGTGCGGAAGAGTCTGATTCCAAGGAGGAAAGCCTCAAAAGAAAAACACCGTCCGATGCTCCTCTACATGAATCCCTCGTACCGGACAACGACGCGACCGAGCTTGAAAAGGCATCTCGTACTATCTTCCTTGGAAACGTAGCGAGCTCTACTATATCGTCCAAAGCCGACAAGAAGATTCTCATGTCCCATCTATCCTCTTTCATAGATGATCTTCCAGTACCCCAGTCCGCTAAACCATCCCATAAACTGGAATCCCTCCGCTTCCGCTCCACTGCCTATGCCACTTCTGCACTACCAAAAAAGGCTGCGTTTGCTAAGAAGGATATCATGACTGCTACAACGAAAAGCACAAATGCCTACGCCGTGTACTCTACGCCATTCGCAGCAAGGGAGGCCGTCAAGAAGCTCAACGGAACCATGGTATTAGACCGCCATCTTCGTGTAGATGGTGTGGCCCATCCTGCGAAAACCGATCACCGCCGATGTGTCTTTGTTGGAAACCTAGGCTTTGTCGATGATGAATCCCTTCTTGAACAAGACGGCGAGAATAGCCGGAAACGGTCAAGAATACCTTCTGATATTGAAGAAGGTCTATGGAGGCAATTTGGAAAAGCTGGTGAAGTAGAGAGTGTGCGAGTAATTCGTGATGAGAAGACCCGTGTTGGCAAGGGATTCGCTTATGTTCAATTTACGGTTAGTTTCCATTATTACTTGACGACGTTCAAGGTCTTATTGACGTATTACTACAGGACGCAAACGCAGTTGAATCGGCCCTACTGTTCAATGAAAAAAAGTATCCACCAATGCTTCCTCGACCTCTCCGTGTCGTCCGCGCCAAAGCCCAACATAAACAAGTTTCGTCCCGACCCATAGCTCGTCAACCGAAATCGTCAAACTCCTCCCAGATTTACAATCCCAAGATTGACTCAAATCAAGCCTCGTTACAGGGCAGAGCTACCAAGCTGTTAGGAAAAGCCGGTGGTGCAAAGTTCAAGAAGACTGGGGCCAACGATACCACTCTGGGTACCAAAGGAGACAATCAGGTCAGTGGGAATGGAGAAGTCAAGAGCGGAATGGCTGGTATCAAAGCACCTGAGAGTTTCGTCTTTGAAGGTTATAGAGCTAGCGCGAGCAAGGGCAAGCCGAAGGACCTAAAGCTGGGAGGAAAGGGCGGTGGAAAGAAGAAGAGCAATATCAGATCAAGGTCTTCAAACAGAGGTGCAGAGTGGAAGAAGCGAGGCTCAAAGTAAGCTTAATTCGTTGTAATCAGAATAATGATGTAGAAAGTATTGGTGAATCAAGCACCAATGAGAATTGTAACATTCAGAACTACTTTGCTGGCCTTGTTATTAATATCTTTCTATGTATCTGTGAAACCACCTTTACTAACATTGAAAAACGCTTCAATTTGCAGCCAAAAGTGCGGGGCACTCATTTTAAATAACACAACACACGTGATGTGATAATTTCCAAGATCATTTTTTTGCAATGCGACATAAGATTTTCTTTCACACGCCCACATTATTCCCAGTCAAAGTCTAAATATGTCTGGCTTCAGCTTTGCATTCGTAGGCGATGATATAGAAATAGATTCGACCCAAGAAGCACCTCCACCCAATTCCCACCACGCTGCAGAGACCGGCACCCTAGCAACACGGAAATCCAGCGGGGCATTTCCAGTGGCAGGACAACCTCTGTTACCTCCGACATATCATACTGTAGAAGAATTACTTAAGACATTACCATCTCAGATTGCCTATTCTACATTGGTAGTCAAATTGGATGATGGAAGGGAGATCAGAATTCCCAGACGGGAGTTATGGGATGTCAGAGCACAGTTGATGGCTGAGGATGAGGGGGATGGAGAAGGCTTGATGGGACTGGGGAATGATGATGTGAAGACTGGTGTCTACGAGGGGGGGTTTAAGAGTTGGGAAAGTTCGGTGGATTTGGTGAAGGTTCTCGGTGGAAGGGCGGCCATGGGTGAGGGAAGGAGAAGAGTTTTAGAGGTATGCAGGATGTTGTGACGAGGGTTTCTAGACTTCATTCACATCCATACATGTCAATCATGCTGACGGATTTGACAGCTCGGCTGTGGGACTGCTCTTCCATCTCTAGCAGTCTTCCAATGGTTTCTCGAAAACACAACCACTTCCACTTCCACTTCTACTTCCGGACTGGAGCTTGGACTTGCAGACTATAATCCCACGGTCCTACAACTCGTCACCTTACCCAATGTCCTCCTCTCCTGGGCACAAATCACAAAACCCGAACTATGGGAAGCCGAAGGAGAACTCGACATTGACGAAGCACTTATCTCTGAATTTATCTCTGCGCTGAATACCCGCAACATTGACTTGTCATTTTTCTCTGGTGCTTGGTCTCAAGATCTTGTGTCTCTGGTCACTGATAAGTTGCATCTATCGTGTGAGAACACAATCATGATCGGAGCAGAAACAATATACTCACCCGTTGCTCTGAGAGCCTTTGCCGAGACATTGATGGCATTGCTTGAGTTAAGCACGGGCCCAAATAAGATAGCGCTGATAGGAGCCAAGAAGGTGTATTTTGGAGTTGGTGGTTCAATAGAAGATTTCGTCACAGATGTTACAGCGAGGGGAGCTCTGGTAGAACAAGTTAGGGAAGAGTCTGATGGGGTTAGAAGAGCTGTTATAGAAGTTAGAAAAGCATGTTGAATATCGAATCTCCAAAGTCCTCGAAATGTTCCAGTACAAGGTGGGAATGTTCACGCAGTGGCAGCACTGCGGGTATTCAACTATTGCAAGGGTGAGTGGAGTATTCGAAATCCTCAGATGAACTACCAGGACCGCATGATGAAGAAACATCTCCGAATCGATGGCCAACTTGATATTTGTAAGTGAAACATTTCACAAATGGGCACCTATCAGCAAAACTTTAGTTCCCAAATGGTAAGATGGATGTACGCTAAATCGCCCCGCACCGGGCTAAGACTTCACATGAACAACTAACTACCTAGATACCTACCTAGTACCTACCTACCACTCATATATACATCCGTGTTTCCGTGCCCAGATTTTCGAACTTAGTTTCTCAGGTCGGTGATATAATTGTAGCTGTTTAAGCTTATCCTTGAATCAGTACTCGTGTAGTTATCCCCAGCATGTGGCGCGCGGAAGGGTACCGGTCAAGATGGCGGGGTAACTTATATCTTAGATTGCTCTTTCCTTCACTTCAATTGTCCATCCTTCTTTCATCATTTCTTCACATATAAGTGATATATTTCTCTTGTGTGGTCTGTTTGATACTTTAGATACTTTGATTCTATACTGAGACTTCCCAAAGCTGTCTAATTTCATTTCTAAGTTGTTATTCGAACAAAACTTCTAAATCTCCAATACAAGCTACCGGTACACAAGCATCTCTTTCGGGCAATATATCATGGCAGTTCCATCAAGTGAGGGTTATAAGCCCGAGTGGCTTGAGGTAATTGACCGTTTTCAGCCCATACAGCTACCTTTCACATCACTTTCCCTCAACAATATACTAAAACACAATAACTCCAGCTCGAAAAAGTCCTCGGCACTCGTCCTGTTCTTTCCGGCGGCCCATCCGACATTAAAGGGCAATTCGACGCCCTAATAACCGCCCTCGCGGCTCAAAGAGGATCCCCCGATATCTCTGTCCAAACTCGCGATGCCTCTGCCGAAGGCGTCCCGGTTCGCATCTACACCCCACCAAATCCCTCTGGCACGAAACTCCCACTCGGAGTATATTACCACGGAGGTGGCTATTGTGTGGGAGATCTAGATTCCGAGGATGTGTGGTGTCGATACATTGCCAAGAATACTCCGTGTATCATCGTCTCGGTCGATTATAGGTTGGGTCCGAAACACAAGTTGCCGGTGATGTTGGACGATAGCGTTACGGCATATGAATGGGTAAATTCCCCATCATCATGATCCCTCCCGTCCACCGTCCTTGTCATCACATACCATCCCCTCAACAGCCCATCAACCCTCCAAACCCCAACCGACTAACCAACTAATCAACCAATCAACTAACCAATACCCCAGGCCTACGACCACTCCTCTGAACTCGGCGCCGACCCCACCCAGACCTTCACCATCGGTGCATCCGCCGGCGGAGGCCTAGCCCTCACCGTCGCCAACGACCTAATCGCGGCCGGCAAACGCAACCACATACAAGGCATCGTAGCCATGGTCCCCGTAGCCGCTCATCCCACCTCCGTTCCCGCCGCCTATAAACTGCACTACCAATCCTACAATGAAAATGCGGCTGACGTTCCCATCATCAATCTCGAGACTATGGACACCTTTTTCGCGGCCGTCGATGCGGATTTTCATGATCCGAGGACTTGTAGGTTTGCCTATTTCTCATTTCCCATTTCCCATTGCCCATTGCCCATTTCTCATTCCCCATTTTTCTGTCTTCGATATGTAGAGAGAGTATAATCACTGATACATACATGCCCCTTCTAGTCGTAACCCTTTCTCAGCATCTTTCCTCCTTCCCTCCAACCTATATCGCCACGTGTGGTAAAGATCCTCTACGTGACGATGGCAAGGTTCTCGAGATGATGTTGAAAGATAAAGGTATCCCAACGAAGAGCAATCACTATGACGGCGTGCCGCATTTCTTCTGGCTTTTCCCGGGTATTAAAGGGGGAGAGGATGTTTTAGCAAATGTTTGTGAAGGGGTGAGATTCGTTTTGGGTGCTTAGGTCATGGGACGACTTATTTCCCAAAGTCTTACTGTTCCGAATAACAATATATTGATTTGTAGAATTCTAAGTCAACGTTACGTAATATTGTGAATTTATTTTCCCAAACCAAAAAATGGAATTCTCAATACTGAATACAATACTGAAAAAAGCTATAAAAAAAATCTATGTGAAGTCATTCATCGTCCAGATGTCAGATCCAAAAATTTGCCCCAACTCCAACGCCAGCGCTAATACATCTGCGAGTCCAAATGTATACGCGACTCTCTCAACGAAGCAAAATTAAACCCTGTCCGAGTATTAAGAAGCAAAGTTTTGTAAGCCATTGGAGATTTTTGGCCAAACGACAGCCTTCTCTAGAGCTTGCAAAACATCTGCTTTCAAATCCTCTGCATCCTCAATTCCACAACTGATACGGACTAAGTCATCATACACCCCAATAGCCTCTCTGTGATCTTTGGGAATGCCAGCATGTGTCATGCTGCTTGGAACCTCTACCAAACTCTCGACTCCTCCCAAACTCTCTGCCAAGGTGTAGATGTTTGTCATTTGGCAAAACTTCTCGGCTGCAGCGGAACCTCCTTTGATGCGGAAGGAAAGCATGCCACCTCCCATACCATCTCTGTGTTGCTTGAGAGCAATTTTGCGGTGTGGGTGAGAATCCAAACCGGGGTAGTTGACGGCAATGACGTGTGGTGAACTCTCCAATGCTTTGGCCACCACGGTCGCGTTGATGGATGCTTCTCGGGCTCTGAGATGTAATGTCTTTAAGCCGCGGTGAGCAAGCCAGCTGTCGAATGCGGAGGGAATGCAACCAATGGCATTTTGCAAAAAGCCTAATCTTTCCTTCATGGCGTCGGAGTTGAAAGCAGCTACACCCATCACTACATCGGAGTGTCCATTGATATATTTGGTAACAGAGTGGACGACGATATCAGCTCCGTGGTCCAATGGTTGCTGGATGTAAGGGCTCATGAAAGTATTGTCAACCACAACCATTATGCCGTGTTTGTGGGCGGCTGTAGCCACCGCTCTTATATCTACAAGTCGCAGAGTTGGATTGCTTGGAGTTTCAATCCAAATGAGTTTGGTCTCTGGTGTAATATGATCCACAACATCCACCTCGATTTCTGGCGTAAATGTAACTTTCACACCATGTGCCTTAGCAACCTGTGTGAAGTATCTATGAGTCCCACCATAAACATCCGATACGGAAATAACATGCGAACCGGCAGCCAGGGATTGTAAAATGGTGGCCGTGGTAGCAGAGCCAGAAGAGAAAGCTAGAGCATATTTTGCATGTTCAAGAGCTGCGACCGCCGTCTCGAAATTGTCACGATTGGGGTTGGAGCTTCTGCTGTATTCGTATGCGCCAACGGGTTTTCCAACGGCGGTTTGCGCAAATGTGGTAGAGAGAGAGATGGCTTCGATGACGGCGCCGGTGACGGGATCATGAGGGGACCCAGCATGAACTGCTAAGGTGCCAAATCGATGGACTGGAGAAGGGGCTCGCGGAGGAGTCTCAATAGGATGATCGAAGGTAGGAACCGTCATTGTGAGAGTTTGAGGGGTAGTAATGCGGGGTTATAAATCCTTTTTTTTTTCGAGAGAAAGAGATCAGTTTTTACTCAAGGGAGGAAAATGCGACAGAAACTTGATAATGGATCAACACAAAATATGGATTGATTGTGGATGAGGTTATCAACTTATACCTTTTTTTCTCAGTAGAAGAAGAAAATATGCAAGTGTCCCTTGGTAATGGGTCAAATTGGGTAATAAGTAATATATTGAGTAAGAAGATGAAGCTAAACCTTAATTGTTATAACAAAGGCGGTAAATATAGATTTAGTATTGAGGCTAAAGCACGCAATTCTTCCATATAAGAGATGGAATGAGATATCTAGGTAGGTAGGTAAGTAAAAGAAGGCAGGAGAAAGGGTATGAAATTGATTATGGTATGAAGCATGAAGGTATCCTGACAAATAGCTATCAAATAGCTATCAAATAGCTGTCATGCCTCGTATATAATCTATTCGTATTATCAATCTTTCAATTGTCTGGTGGAACTATTGTATTGCGGTTGCGCCTTTGATGTCATTGAAATCCAAAACAAGAAGGTCATGAAGGTAGTATGTATTACTGGGGACTTGGGTAGGTGATTACCTAGGTATGTAATAAAGAAGAATACTTGAGCAGACATAAGATCTTATTAGCATCTGCTTTCCCTAAGTAGATGTTAGATGTTCTCATCTAATAATAAGAGAAATGTATCTACTCGAGTTGATAATAAAGATCTAAAAAAAAAGACATATCGGATTGAAACCCCTAGAATCCCCAGAAATCTATAAATTCGCAAAGTTCCATTGGTCGATCTTCACTAGTGGAACTGAAAATTGCCGGAACATTCGTTCCCTTCGATAAAATAGAAATGCTATGATGCTGACTAATACATCTCCCGTAAAGAACCAGTTAAAATTGTTTGGCATAAACCTCAAATTCCGATTTCCCGACAACCCCGATGATTAGAACTTAAAAAGTGACAATATTAATAAGCAATCTTGGAATGCAAATCGAGAAACAAAACAACAAAACACTAAGGGGTGAAATATCTATCCATCAAATTCAAATTGACATCTGAATCTGGATTCTCGGTCTTTATTGCATGAATTGAAACAACTTCTGGTCATTATGAATGATGAAGAACATCTCTTGAAATAAACATTCTGATCGCCACCCTTGATCTCCCTACTTCCTTACGTCGTCTTGTGGAAAAGGCAAAAACACTATGCCACCAAGGAGATCACACAAGAAATCCAAAGCTGGATGTCAAAGATGCAAGCACAGAAAGATCAAGGTGAATGCTATCAAGAGATGATAATGAACCAACCCATATGCTAACTTTGAGTTAGTGTGATGAAAAACATCCGCTGTGTGGAAATTGTCAAAAACATGGTCCGTATATCTTTAATGAAGATGAAAATAGTTATTGAGTTATTGACATTGAATAGGCGTTTCCTGTGACTTTGGTGAAAACTCCTCATCACCTGATTCATCAACTTCACAACCTTCAACCTTACTTTATCAAAATTCCGAAGATTCTATCATCAATTTCTCATCACCTGCTTCTACCAGTTCTTCGATAATGCCATTCTATTCATCGCCTACAGAGATGATCAGGACCCGTGTGGATCCAGTATTTGATCGATCACTTGAGCTCAAGCTTATGCACCATTATACGGCAACGACCTCGAAAACGTTATCTAATGATGAAAGTCAGGATGTTGCTTGGTCGATAAACGTGCCATCACTCGCTTATGATTCACCATTTCTAATGGATGCTATTCTTGCTGTGTCTGCTTTACATCTACGTATATTGCAGCCCGAAGATCGAAGTCTCGTACGCGCATCACATAGCTATATGGCTTCAGCTCTTGCTCAGTATTCTTCCCTTTTGAACCAAGGACCATCCGAATGCAATGCAGAAGCACTTTTCTGTACCGCCGCTCTCATTGCCTTTCAAGCATCAGCATCTCGTTGTGTCGAGAATGCAATTGACAGTGATTCCGAAAACGGTTACGTCCTACCACTCGCTTGGTTTCATTCCTTTCAAGGGGTGAAGACAGTCGTCATAACCTCCTGGCAGTGGTTACGGAACTCCCAAAAAATATTTCCTATTATTAATGGCCAGCCTCCATTATTACTAGATCTTGATCCTGAACGTCGGGGTTTCTTTGCTCCTTTACTTGAAGGAATCGAACACGGATCAACTTCAGATAATGCCTCCCTGGATGCGGATTCAAAGCAGGCATGCGAACATGCCGTGGCCATGCTTAACTGGGCGCATCAAAAACCCGAGCGAGCTCGAATTGTTGGTTTTGCGGCCACCGTGTCACGTCGCTATATTGAGCTCATGCGGGAACAGGATCCTCGTGCTCTAGTCATTGCGGCATGTTTCTTCGCCATGACACGCATTGTTGATGATATCTGGTGGCTTCAAGGCGTCGCCAAGAGAGAAGTGACAGGAATCTTCAGTTTATTACCGGAAGAGTGGTGGCCAAAAATGGACTGGCCAATGCGAATCGCCCACTTCGAAGGGAAGCTCGATGAGGATACCTGGGGTTTTTGTTGGCATACTGATTCTGAGGGCACGTCAAAGCCGGAAGAACGGTCCAATGGCAATCTCATTTCACATATCGATATGTTGGCGCAAATTTTGAATCAAACCGCACCACCACCAGATTGAAAGGGGTTTTCCATCCGCCAGTTATAAAGATTTGAAATGTCGATATATGATATGCCTATACCGCAAATTATAAAGATTGAACATGCCGAAACATGATATGCCTACATTTATCTTGGGTTATCGTGGTCATCGGTACATTGGGGACAAAATGGGGAACGGCACTGGCTGGGAACAAGCACTTTGAGCCATTGTACGGAGTTCCTTCTGGCTTGAATAGGAGCAATATGGCACAATTATACGGCAAACAACTCAGCTGATAGTCAATAATAGATGTACAGTACAGATGAGAGGGTTATTAGGCTCAGTTTTAAGGTTTTAATATGTATTTATCATAAATCATGTGTACGCACATGAAGCGCAAGGAATGATTCTATTAATAACATATTCGCATAACTTTCATCCCCCTTTCATTAATATTTCGGTTCTCGCCAAAGAAGAATCCAACTCATCATTACCTCCCTCTCGCGAATGAAGAAAACTACTGAAGAACGAGGACGAGATCCTTGTATCCATTCCACTTCTTCTTCTTCTTCTTCTTCTCATCGCTTGATATTTAACCGCAGCGCAACAACATGTTTCAATATCACTTCAAAATCCGAAACCCTCTCTCTTTCTCTCCTCTATGATAATATTGTAATAATGCAATAAAGTCAAAGTATACAATGTATATAAGACTACCTACTCTACCCTATACACAGTCTACATCATTATATATATATATACTAATACTAATATATGATAGAACCAAGGACCTCCACCTCAACAATATGGACAGGGATATCAACAAGAACATCAACAGGGAAATATGGGCGGTCAATAGGGATGATATGGTGGGCGGCAGGGATATCAAGGTGGAGGTGGAGGTGGATTCGGAGGACTGGGTGGTGAACATTATGGAGGGGGTGGTGCTGGGTTTGGAGGTCAATATCAAGGATATTAAGAATGTCAAGGTGGAGGTGGAGGTGGATTCGAAGGATCAGATATTGAATATTATAGAAATGATAATGATAGGTTCGGAGGTAAACATCAAGGATATCAAGGATATCAAGATAAAGATCGAAATAGATTCGGAAAGTCAGATAATAAACATTGCGGAAATAGGTAGTGATAATGGATTCGGAGGTCAATGTCAAGGACATCAAGGTGATGGAGGGGGATTTGGAGGTCAACAGGGACATCAAAGGAGGAGGTGGTGGAAAGTATATGAGTATGTATAATATACTCGAGTTATTCATATAATATCCACTCCTAACCTTATTTTTGACTTTTCCTTTTCACTCCTAATCTGGAAAACCTTCACTTACTTCTTCCTGCTCCTAACTCTAGACATCAGTGAGTCTGTTCCTTCTTGCAAAGATCACTGGTATAGTTAGCTAAATACAGTAAGAACAATAGTCTATAAACAATAGAGAGACATATAAATATGATAAGAAGTATACTGTTTGACTCAGGAATGATAACGAAGGACAACATTCATAACAACCACAACCACGACAACAACAACCACAACAACAACAACAACAACAACAACAACTACAACTACAACAACTAAAATGAACTACTCTCCAGACTTTGCATGTCTTTTTGTGGTTATTCTTTACTCGGTGTATTTGAGATTTGTTGTGGAAGATGTTGTTATTATTATGCATGCGGTGCAATGGTGCATTGGAGTGTTCATTTTGGGCCTAAACATTATTTTGTTTGCTCATTATCCAACAATCATCGTTAATGGAATGATCAGTAGTGATCTAACATTGTTGTTGCTTGGGTGTGGAGCACAAATCTGGTTCTGGATCTGCGAATCTTGTGGGGTGGGTAGTGAAGTTATGTCCAATACATCATTTTACATATCCTTAATCTCAGGGGTATTCGCACTCGCAAACACTGGATTGAACATCGCAGCTGTCGGTTATAACGACGGGAACAAGTTTGCGTTGGCAGTTGGTATTATATCCTTATTAATTCCATTTTTATTCTTTGTTTACGAGCGGAGAAAACCAAGGGGCTGTGTGTCGGCCTGGAGAACCTGGCCTCAGCCAGCCAATAAACTATCATAGACATGGAAAGGATTGCGACACCAGTCTAAGTTGGATGGAGCAATGGCAGAAAAGAAAGTGCGAGGATTGGGGGAAGGGATAGTAGCAGATATAAGTTGGGCAGGGGAGGATGTGGTTGATAGTCTTTATTAACTGATGGTTGCGAAATCCGATATGGGATGGATGGATGGATGAATAAAAGACACATACTATATATACTTAGGTTTTGTGATATGGTGAAGAGAACTGTAAATGTACTTTCTTTATGCGTGCCTTCATGTCTGTACTAGGTATTTAATGACAGGTGATGGGTATAGCATAATATAACACAATACATGAGTTGAGTACCATATAATATAATATAACATATGAGATAAGATGAGGAAGCCTACTCATAGTAAGATATTCAAAGTTATAATTGTATTGCTTCCATGTTGCTGACTGCTACCATATCTGTTTATGTGAATGTGAATTTGAAAAAGGAAAAGAAGAATTAAAGATCATGACAGTACTAGGTAGTAATATGCTGATATATGGTACCACACGATTCCGAGGACAAACAAGGATCATCAATAAATAAAGAATGAAGGTCATGTACATACTGTTTGCATCGCTCTCTATTATCCATTAAAGTAATGAAAAGCAAAAGGCAACTCACTACCGCCGGAGCAGTAAAGTAGCAAAGTAGCAAAGTGATGTTACGCCTGCAATGCCTGTATATCTCATCTTCCAGCCCCAAAACTCCATGTCGCTAAAATCAAACAATGCATCCATCCATAGCATTTCTGAAGCAAATACCCACCCGTATCAATTCCAAGAAGCACAGCCAATATCTCCAATCGATTTGTCATCTTCTGGACTTGGCCATAGCTGCAAGCCGTGCTCGTTTTTCAGCTTTCTCCTTCTTGAGTTTGTTCTCCTCGATAAGAGCCGCAGCATCTTCTTTCCTTGCGATACGAGCAGCCATCTCTTCTTCGTCGTCAACTTCATATGCTGCTGCTTCCATATCAGAAGATACATCAGACGCATAACCATCCCCCTCAACTTCTTCCTCCATGTCGTCCTCATCCTCATCAGTGGCGTAGTAGCGATCGAGATCCTTTCGATTATTTTTATATCGGTCATTACCTCCATTTCGAGCGGAATACGAAGGTGCAGGAGGCTTCGTAGTAGTTGCTCCACCACCTGGTCTTGGGCGAGCAGTTCCAGTGTATCCCGTTGTCGCTGTAGCAGCCTTTTTGACCTTCTTTTCAACGACTGGCGGTGGAGCCTTGGCACCAAGAGACTTCGTACCGCTCTGTCCATTCCGACTTAGATTCTGGCTGGAGTTTTGAAATTTGGAGCTCGGTTCAAGTCCCTTTTGAATGGTCTTTCCTTTCTGTGTCCTTGATTTATCCAGCTCTCGCTTGGGTGGCGCCTTCTCAATTCTTTTGTGCTGTATCTTTCCCACCTGTCCTAAAGAAGCCTGGGCAGCTTTTCCTCGCGCCAAAATCTCCGCATACGATCCTTTCTTGGGTGGTTTTGCCGATTCGGTGGAAGATGGTGGTGGGGTTGGATGTCCATTTTTGAATGTGGTGTTGGCCGACTTCGGCGTTGGTCTTCGTGGGTTTGTGTCGATCTTTATTCTGCTCGCATTTAGATCAATAGTCGTAGGACGTTGCGCTTGAGTGAATGGCCTCGATGTAGAAGCAGTATTTGGTCTTTGTAGCTTATCAACCGGCTTTCTCAACTCATCGTTTGCTTTTCGCTTTGGTGGGAGAGTGGCGGTCGGCATCGTTGGGCTTGGGCCCCCCGATATCTGGGCTAGGAGATCACCGATCTTGATCAAGTCAGTATAGAGATAATCTAGAGTGCAAGCAAATGCGCAAAGTGGACATACCGGCATGTTGAGTGATGTACTTGTGATACACAGAAAATGTGAAGAAAAGAAAATCAGAAGACAATGAATAACTCAAACGCTGATCGCGTGGATTTCTGACTTCTTGTATTGCATCAGCACATGCAGACTGATAGATACAGTGCTAGGAGGAATATGAAATTAGAAGCGCCAGATAACAAGTAAATGCGCCTCCGGAAGATAATGTTGTTTATGTGTTATTCCTGCAAATATTGTTGTTGAGGCAGTGTGAAAAACGAACAGCACTCAACGGTCAGCAAGGATTTAAGTCCATTTCAATATCACGTGATAGCTATGACAGGAATAGCTTAGCGGAAAGCCATTCGCCCACACAAGAACTTTTGTGATTTTAATCACATTCGAGATCCACAATCGAAACTTTTGCAACTTCAAAACCACCCAGAACTTGAAATTTCAGTCTCCGTCTCTTGCGGTTAAATCGATTGATATACCTGTTCTTCTAACAAAAACAAAAAATGTAAGAATATCCTCATATTACAGTCTTCACGGCGTTGATTCGCGCACTGTGATTATGCTTGAGAAAGATTGATCATTGACTGACAATATTTGCGCATAGCATTCAAAATGAAGTATCTCGCAGCATACCTTCTCCTCACCATCGGTGGAAAGGCCTCCCCTTCCGCTAACGATGTCACCGCCGTTCTCGAGTCCGTTGGAATCGAGGTCGACAACGAGCGTCTCGACACTCTCATCAAGGAGCTTAGCGGCAAGGACATCAACGAGGTCAGCAAAATTCAAAATAACCCACATACGTACTGGTAACTGACATAAAGATTAGTTGATCGCTGAGGGTTCCTCCAAGTTGGCTTCCGTCCCATCTGGTGGTGCCGGAGGTGCTGCCCCAGCTGCTGGTGGAGCTGCCGCCGCCGGTGGTGCCGTCGCTGAGGAGAAGGTTGAGGAGAAGGTTGAGGGTATGTTACACTACATTGGTCCTAACAGGATACCTACTAACGGAATCAATAGATAAGGAAGAATCTGATGAGGATATGGGTTTCGGTCTTTTCGATTAAGCAGTCAATTGACGTTTCCACGAACTCGACGCTCTCGACCTACCGGAATATCATATCGAGACTTCTGGAGGAAATCAGGCAGGCTTGGCCTGCCATTTGCATACCATATGGGTAGATGGATTGATCATTATAAACGTTCCCATGACAAGCATTTATTCATGCAAAATAGAGCAATAAAGACGTGATTCTACCATCATCAGCATCTCCACACATGTGCATAAATATACACACAACATATAAATCCCAGTGACCTGACTGAACATGCTTAAAAATTGCACTCCTGCTGCAAACCTTATAATTCCGGCATCAAGACTTTACCCAAAATGGTCTCCATGCTTTCCAGAGAGCTTATTAAAACCTTATACACCTATATGCTCTCTGAATTTAACCAAGGCCAATTAAAACACTCATAATCCCATTATCTTGTACCCCTCCAAAACGCCCACACCCCTGCATTGATTTCTTAGGCTGGAAAGCGACGACTGAGAGGTTTTGGCATCATTTGCCCTATTTTAGCGCCAAATTCTAAGCGAGAGCAAAAATTCGGGAAATTCCTGCCTTACTGTAGGACTTACCTCAACGACGAAGGACAATTCCATCACGACAACTCCATCCTTTCGACCACTTTCGAAAATCCCCACAGCAAAGATGGCTGACGAAGAATATGTGAGCAATTATCTATTTTCCCCTGCTTCAATCTAGATTGTATCTTTGCAGCAGCTTCGCAAATACGAAAGAGATGGATTGCTAATCATTTTCATGAATTCAATAGGATGCCCAAAAGGCTGCCGAGATCAAGGCAAAGAGATCTTTCCGCAAGTTTTCTTACCGTGGTATCGACCTCGACCAGTATGCCTACCTATATAAATCCACAACATGAATATCAAAGGGGATCTCATTGTAGCTAACCCTCATATTCTTCGAACAGACTCCTCGACCTCTCCTCCGACCAACTTCGCGATGTCGTCCACGCTCGTGCTCGCCGTAGGTTCAACCGCGGTTTGAAGCGCAAGCCTATGGGTCTCATCAAGAAGCTCCGTAAAGCCAAGCAAGAGGCTAGGCCAAACGAGAAGCCTGATTTGGTCAAGACTCACTTGAGAGATATGATCGTTGTCCCAGAAATGATTGGCAGCGTCATCGGTATCTACTCCGGAAAGGAGTTCAACCAGGTCGAAATCAAGCCTGAGATGGTTGGTCACTACTTGGCCGAGTTCTCTATCTCTTAGTAAGTTATCACCAACTTTGTTCTACGCCAATGCTTGAAGAATTGCACACTGGGAACATGTACTGACCCCAAAACAGCCGACCAGTCAAGCACGGAAGACCCGGTATCGGAGCCACTCACTCTTCCCGTTTCATTCCCCTCAAGTAAATTATCGGGATACATTTACTCTGTATCATTTGGGTTATCAAGGGAGGATGGATCGCATATTTGCCTGGGATTGTATGGCATATAAGCCTGGAATATCAACCTGCTTCTTGACCACGGTCAGAAGACAGCTATAATAGATAGCAAGCAATAGGCATTTATGAAAGTTACGTCAAGAATACATAGTCTTCTGAGCTGCATCGTGAATTCTCCGTGAAACCCCAGAGATCACACTCCCACCCGCATAATACACCATGCATACAAGACAGACGGACTTTCAAATATGCATATCTTTTAGTTCAAATGTCTGCTTCCCTCTCTCTGCCTGAACTTGGCAATCTTCAAATGCGACTTTGAGCTCAGTTGTGATTTCATAACTTACTTTACTACTTTCAAAAGCATCGCCTGCATATCCTCCTCTACTTACTTCTTCTCTTTGCTTGCATCATTGACATAGTACATACAGTGCTTCCATAAACTCTTGACGGAATACTCGAGTACATCACGATCGATCACTTGTTATTAGTTTTCATATCTATTCGAACCCCTGTCTGTTCTCCTTGCTGTGTATCGTACAGTAAGTAAGTAGTACAAGCACATCTTTTCCTCCCAAGTAATCTTTATCAATTCTGTACTGTAACCTTACTGTCATCAATGCCCAGCGGCCCTCTCTTACTTTCTTCACAAGCCTCCGTTTTCTCATACCCCTATTATTTTATTCCGACAGCCTCAGAATTTCTCTGTTTCGTTAGATCACATTACATTGTACTCGTATTGCATTACCATTCATCATCACTTTCCCCAACACCAGACCCTACACCAAACATATTTCTCCGATTCCGACTTGGCATCTTATAACCCTTTTCCCTGCGCTCCTTGTGACTTTCCCAAAAATCCCATTCTTCATACTGCAATCGCGTTCGTTGTTTCTCTAATCTGCTCCTCTTTCTTCTTTGCCTTGTTCTTCGTATTTCGCTTCTCTTGCCGCCGGTATTTTTGGCGCTGAAGATGTTATGAATGGTTTTGTTGATGTGTTTATGAATGAGGCGATAGAGATTTGTGAACGCCGACCCGATGGAGTTTAGGAGTAGACGGATGCGTGTACTCCAGGCGATGATGAGAGCGAGCGTTATAAGGGAGAAGGATGTGGGGACTATCGGGAAAGAACTTGTTAATGCTGTCCTGTTTAGCACGAATGAGGAAGAGATTCATACTTGCGATGACGCCTACGGTGCGAATAGAGAGGTAATCACCACCACCCCATTCTCTGGTATAATGTGAGACTATGCATGGTATGCTGAAAGTACATCTTAAACGGAAAGAAGATAACTAACTTGACGTTCATTCCAAATAGACCTGTAAAGAAACTAAGTGGCAGCTAATGGCAAAGATTAGCTCAGACTTCACAAATGTTCGAGTGAAGATGGTCATACGAATATAACTGTGAAGACCTATTCACAATACCAATTAGTCCAGCTGGTTGCATATGCAAAGGCAATAACTCACCGTGAATATCATGACAGATCTGCTTTGCGAACTTGCAAGATCAGCCTGGTGTCTTGAAAGGCGCACTTCATCCACCTGCATCGATTGGTCAGTACTGTAGATCAGGTAGCTATATCTCACCAACCTGTGTCTGCCTCTGTATCATGCCCAACAACTTGTCAAACTATCGTACGTCAGCTGAAACTACATATTAAGCTTATTGGTGGATACTCATACATCATCTCGAAAACTCTTCACACTTTCGATCATCCTTTCGATGCGTTGAGTATATTCTCCCAAATACACCTCGGCACTGCTCAAAAATGCCAATCCATTCGTAGTCAACTCTCGCTTTTCGTAAACATCCAACATGATCTTGATCTCTGTCATTTGACTAGCAAATAGCGTCTTTAGAGTGTTCAACTCATCCGCAATATCTCGCAGTTCCAACAGAGCGTGAGTGGTGTCACGATTTTGCTTCTCTACAATTTGGTCTTCGCGTTTATGTTTAGCACGAATAGAAGTGGTTCTCAGGTCGTCAATATCGACTGCTTTGTCCCGGAGACCTCGTGCACGGAAACTCTTAAAAGACGCTGTCATCTTCTCTGTCTGGTCGTCTGATTAGAGTCAGAACAAAAGGGGCTTCCACGCAAGAGAATACTTGCCAGAATACTGATCGCTTCTTCGAATGTTCGGAAAACATCCAAGTCGGGATGAGAAGTGCGTTCAAACAAAAGGGTAACCGCATGAAGTGCAACCACTAGAACACTAGGGAGTCAGTAAATTCCTATCAAGGAAGACACTCGAGAAATAATGAGGAACCAAAGTTGTGTTGGTGAATAGGAGAAAGAGTAGAAGATAAAGCACCCGACGAATTTAGACATTAGGGGGTTTCAAATCAAATTTGCTCACAAGCTGCAAGATCATGTGCATTCTCACAACGGTGCGTGAGATCGGCGTTGACTTCATTGAAAATGCTGTTTCGCAGGTCCGCTTGTTGATATAATCTGCCGTCCGCCTTCAGTCCGGATCTCTATATTTCAGTTAGTGGGATCCTTATTGATCATTGGAGCACACAAAAGGTCAGCTTTGAGGCATCTTACTCTAGGAAAGAAAGTGACAACGGATCCTGATCGTCATGGTTAGTCTTCTGATGGACTGCAAGCTCAGACTTCATACCATTAATGACCCATAACCAGAGCTGATCAACCATGAGGATATTCCCATCGAGAACGTCATCGTCAGAAGTCATATCTCTCTCGCTTGGGCTATCAAAATTCCCGGAATATCCATCAACCTCTTCTTCATCATCTTCCTCTTTCTCGTGGGTCACTCTCGATTTCCTCGCTGCATTGCTTATTCCGTGAACACTATGATTTTTATCAACATCGGACTCGATATGCCGTTCTTTAGTCATCTTGTACAGCATCTGATCGTCGTCTCTCGCCCTCGTATCGAGAAGACTAGGATATCCGAACTGATCCAGTGTACGCCGGGCATTGATGGGAGGATCATGTCCTAGATACTGCCAAAGGACTTGAGACTCTTGCGTGTCAAGCTTCGCCACGTGCTGAGGAACAGGTCTTGATCGACCTTGCTTGATGCGTTGTTTTACCAAAGCTCTTCTTTTTACAAGGACCTTGTAGGTATCAAAATGAAGGTAGGGTAGATACAAGCACATTTGAATGTGGTTCATGTCGATAGAACCAACGCCAATTTTGGGCGATGCTAATGGAGATACTGGTTGAAGCGTAAGCAAGAGTAGCTACGTAGCACAGATAGACTTTGACTTACCGCTTTCTAAGCCAAAGAAGCAACAATGAGGCTTTAGAAAACAAGCATGATGATGCCCTTGGTGCCGTCCACGTACATGTTTCGAATGCCAGTGCTCGGTATCTAACATTCTGCTGTGAACATCTGGTCCTTTCTCGATTGATATTCTTTGGAGAATATCCTTTCTGGTTAGTGGGGAGTAATGCATTGAGAGCTTGGAGGCTTACTAGGACCCAAGTGGGATTATTAAAAGGCACATGTATCCACGTAAGCTTGAGTTTCGAAACATTGGAATTTTGCAAAGGGGCTAGGACAGGAGTGACAAGACTTTCACTTTCTTTAAGCCCCTGTGATAAAGAGGATTTATTTCGATGAAAATCAGCGCCAGACGGGCTCAGAAACGAATTGTGAGCCGTTTGGGATTCGCTGTGCCTTAGGAGAGGCTCAGGTTTAGCCGCTGTATCATCGGTCTCGATTTGCGACCCCAGGGCAGGAATAGATGGAACTGCTCCTGTTGTTTTCTCCCCAATCAAACCTCCCAACGGTTGCGCTTTGACATTTGCTGCTCTTCGAGACAATAGATCAGGGCTTGAGCCCCTTGACGTTGGCTTATGGTTCAATGAATCATCCTTGACCTTATGACCGGAAGTGACTTTGTTTAGTGGCAAATATGGAGCACGAGTATTGTGGCTTAGAAATTGTCGAATCACTGGCACAACTGATACCTCTTCCCGTCTTTCTTTCAGAAGTTTGGTAGGACCGTATCTTTTGAAGTCTTGTATTGTCTTATTCGTTGACCAGACTCTGATTGGGGGCTCCATCATTGGGGTTGTCGTATTACCTTCATAAAAGCCATTGATCTCCACCATGACTTTGTTCTCGAGATTTAGTTCGTAGTGTGTTTCTTTACTTAACTTACAAGCGTTCTTGACCGAAGCAGCGAGTGCTAGTAGATATGAATCTTTGGTATGACTATTTACGAGGCCGAATGTCGCACATTTTGTATGAGTACTCACCAATGGATACACAGTTTCGTTACGTAGATTGAGTATCGTGGACTTGATAGACGCGATGGGTGCATGGAAAGGTTTACCTTGATCTAAACCAGTAAGATCTGAATCCAACGTCTCAAAAAACGTCCACACTTTAAGATCCGTCGCTAGAGCTTTGAAGTCTTTCCCAATTTGTTTCAAAGAATGGTGATCCAGTTCAAGCTGCTTTGTTATGGACGTCGGAAGTTCTCGTGAAAGACCCATGGTCTCACGAATAATTCTCGAGAAGCCTGATTGTGACAGATAACTTGAGCCCCTATGTGGTGTTGCTATGATCGTGATTAGTAGGCATACTCCTGGTTGTCTTCGCTTGAACATACCGAAAAATGTGACACCATAACAATCATTGAGGATCGAGTCTTTAAGCCTTCTAGCTTCAGTGAGAGCTATCTTGACCACTAACCCTCCAGTGCTGTGGCAAATGAAGAAAAGAGGACGAGACTCCTTCTAAGTATGAATTAGCCAAAGTGTAATGGTAACATCCACATGTGTAATAACTCCGAGGTTGAAAAAGGCCAACACCATGCTTCCCTTACCTCAATTGACCTCAATTTTTTAACGTTATCCAAAAGTCTGTTGGCCAATTGTTTCAACGTATCACCATCTTTCGGATAGCCATGGTCATACAAAAGCACTCGAACCATGTCCATATCCTCGTGACTTCGAATGTCACGAAGTATCCACGCAGGCTCCATTCTTTTCAGAGGCCTCATTGTTGGTTGTTTGGAAGGAGATCGTGAGTAAGCTGGTGACACCGAAGTCATGCTCTTGAATGCCGATTTCAATTCGCTTTCTCTAGGCGAAGAGACATCATCTTGTGTAAATTTAGCATCCGGACACCATGTTTTCTCAGGGTCACCTCCAATGGCCGGTACTCCGATTATGCTGCATCTCCATCAACTATGAACATATGTAAGGAGCAGAAACTGTTCTTACTCGACTTCTGTGATCTTTGAGCTTGATTTGAAATAAGGATTTCGTTTGAAAGGCAGCTCATCTATCTCTGATTTCGGGCCACCATTGATATTAGCGCGACCATCTCGCGATACTTCCACGCTGATACGTGGCGCCGAATTCTGTGATTCAACCTGATCATCGCCAATTGAGGATCTCGCAGAGGAGGGATTCTCGACCGATCGCACGTTCATCAATGAGATTCCCGAATTTTGAGGCAGACGGCTTCCACCATTGGTCTCCATACTCGACACACCTTGCCGGTGGCCAAAGAGAATCTTGTACATCGCAATATATTCGTCAATTGATTGATGCTTGATCAGATTTGAATCTCTATTTTCTAGCGACAATGAATAAAGGAAAAGATTTCTGCTTGTCTTATGTGACCACCCCTCAGGGCCTGTTCAGAGCCGCATCAGCTGAAACTTGATGATGGTGCCGCTCACGTGGATAACAAACCAATGAAAGTGAAGAAATGACCTCGATGGGGGATTGGGTAGGGCGAGATTGTGCATCTTCGATTGGACGTGGAAGGTATTTTCAATTTTTGGAGAACTTGGGGGGCCACAGGTGTTTGTGGCTGCATTTGTTGTCTTAAACATGAAAGATGACCGAGATCCCGAAGTAAGTACCTAGGTAGTCTTCGATGAACATGATCTTCATCATATGTACATTTGATTGTCGGAGAATGTAAAGCTCTTGTCTGATCCTCGAATATATAGAATATGGCACTGGCACAAACTAACTTTTTTTTTTAGAAATGTTGTCTAGAAGAAAACTCCTTATCTTCGTAAGAAGTCCTCGTTGCACATACCCACCTAATGGATTGTGCACAAGCCCTTCTCCAAAATAAAATCGGTATATTACAAATATACAAATATATAAATAAACAGCAAATTACTCTTCACTAACATATATATTTTAAAACACACCTTTAATTTTCAAAAATACGTAAGATCTATACAGGAATATCAAACTAAAGAAAAAAGGTTTTATTAATATATTTAAATATTCTTATAAATAGAATATTATTAAATTAGTATGTTCTGATTTTTTTTTTTATAAGCTTTTTAGTAATAAATTTTTTGTATTTATATAATTAATATTTGTTAAGTAAACAATTATTGAAGTACTCTAAAAAGTTATAAATTGAAAAGTATTGGAATTTCAATAAATATAATTCTAATTAAATCTCTTCATTACTAATCAGGATTAAAAAAAGCCTAATATATAGATTATCCTTTCAAAACTTTGAATAGCTTCAATATTTCAATTATTAAGGGGAATAAGGATATATTATTAGTAATATATCAGTTCCCCGAATCTAAAGCGAGAATAGAGGCAAATTATATCGTGTTACCTATAAGTCAACTACCCCACTTTTCCGGCCACCCCCCCTTTTCGGCCACCCTCAAAACCCACACCGCCTCAGCAACCTATCTTCTTAAATATTTTCTGATTAAATAATCATTCAATTAATTGATTTCAAATTTTGATTTATTATTATTTATATAATGTTGAAACTCTATATTGAAGATGATATTGCTACAACTTTAAATACTATTATAAATAGTGTTTCGATACGAAAAGCTGCTCTGGAATATAGAATTCCTTGCATTACATTTTAGAGTCGTATCAATACTTATATATCTTATTAAAAAAGTTCCGAAATAATACAAAAGATTGCCCCGATTCAGGAGAGACGTTTAGTGGAATAAATATTAGTACAAAAGAGCTTAGATACTAATCCTATTTATTAGCAAATTCAAGAAATTATTAAACACCTTCTCAATATAAAAGAATTCGATTCTATCTTTGGAAAACAATGGATATACAATTTTTTGGAGAGAAATCCAGAGATTAGAATTAAAAAATCAATATAGAATTGATTCTACCCAA